CTTTTCTTCTTTTCTTTCCTTCTCACTGTCTTTTAATCTTCTCTCCCCCATTCTTTGATCTTTATTTCCCCAAACCATGCATCCTTTTGTTTTTCCATAAACTTCATTTCTCTCACAAACCCAGGCCTTCCACCACATCTGCAAATACCATTAACAAGATCTGTTTCCTTCTCCTGTAAATCCAAGACAAACCAGAGATACCAGTGGAAATGCGATAGTTGACAGGCACCAACTTGTTCTGGATCTGTCTTGTAACAACTTCAGGCTGGAAAATCTAGGCTTACCATTCTAACCTTAAGACAGATTAAGAATTTCAAAGATTTTTGCATGTATAGAAAAAGAAAATCTGTGTTTGTCTTAAGGCTTACAAGTCTCCAATTGTATTTCCTTTTAACTTCATTAATCTTTTTCAGAATCTTGAAACTCCTTGTGGTAACATAAACAAAGAATAATTTCAAGTTGTTACATTGAACTCTTCAGAATATGTCTTGTTTTCTGAGTTCGGAGTTCAGATAATTTATATTTAATCAACGAAACCAAAACAGGAACCTGTAACATATCTGAATATTTATTCTGTCATAAGAACTTTAAATTGACTTGATTGCAGTTTGTATTTAATCATTTTTAATTAATAATCTGTATGTTCTTCACAGCATATGGCATCAGTTCTCATAAGATTAAGTAATGTCAAGCCTGATAAGTATGTAGATGGTTGATTGTTTGAAAATACCAGGTGGTGTAAGCTTAGATGCGCTCTGTGCTGGTGGGGTGATGGATGAGTGGTCAGTATGAGAAATTGGAGAGCTGAGTCTAATATATATATATATATATATATATACACACACACACACACACTACTGTTCAAAAGTTTGAAGCTACCCCCAGAATTAGCATGGAATGAACTTCACAGAAGAGTGAAAAAAAAAAAAAATGAGAAAGATCTCTTTAAAAAAAGAATGGAATCAATTATCGAACTTATACTTTGAGAAACTTTTGCAACAAATACCAAAAATTTGTGCTGCAGTAATCAAGACTAAATGATATTTTGATGAGATAAAATTTAATCATAAAATTCTTTTTTTCTTTTGTTGTTATTATATTCTGTGCTAATAAGGAATATATACTTGAAAAACAAGGTGGATAAAATAAGTAAAGGTTTATTGTAAAATACCAGTAAGAATAAAGGTAACAGTTATGCACAAGGTCATCAAATGTCAATCCCGTAGTGAGTGCTACTATTGGAAGGTCAGTAGTCCTTGCGTAAGTTTGAATCGTCCTCTAAAGATCCCAGCTAGTCTCTGTAGTCCGTTGACTCACAGCTACTTATAGGTAGTTATTACCTACAGTGTAGTCACTCATGGGCATGACAGGTTATTCCATTACATCAGTCATAATAAAATTTCTAATAAAATATCATGTGTCACATCTTTTTAACCAAATATAATAAATTTTCTATTATTTAAAGTACAAAACAAAGTACTTTTTGGGCCAGTTTAAAAAAATTACCAGGGATGGCCTCAAACTTTTGAACTGTAGTGTGTCTGTGTATATATATATATATATATATATATATATATATATATATATATATATATATATAGTGTATTTAGGCAGGAATGCCTCTTTTATACATGTTTCATTAAAGATAACAGACAAGGTACTGTGATTAAGCTTTTTATTTAATTTTTCTTGTGTTTGGACAAGTGTTTCCCTTTCTGGACACAAAGTGTGTAAAAACTGTCCAAACATTCTGCATTTCTGAGAGCTTTCAGCTATTCTTTAAGCCATTATCAAGGATGGTTTTATATTTAATTTTTAACTGGATGTATTGGTTGTGTGTGTTCTCAATAGATACACATAAAAACTAATTTAGACTGAGAAAAAAACAGTATTATATATATATATATATATATATATATATATATATATATATAAAACTGATTTACAATATTGTTTTTTTGTTACACAGTAATAATCATGTTTCAAAAATGGAAGCTAAAAGCTTTGAACTTAATTTTGTAATTAAATTAAAAACATTAGTTCCATTTGATCCTCAAGCGAATTTTGGAGTGACTTATTTTTTTAAATTTACTGAGTTTTAAAGGCACAGAAAAATTCATAATTCACTGTTTCCAAGGATACAGAGAGGTCCAATCATTCAGACAAGGGGTGGTAGCATGTTCATTTTTATTAACTTTTGTTGTGTCAGTTATTAGTTACGTTCAAAAAAGGGGTTAAGTTTAGGGAGGGTAGGGATGTATTTTTCAATGAATTCTAACATTCATTAAATGCATGTCATCTGGGGTTTTTTAAAAATTCTATTGTTAACAGTAAAAAATTTTTACGACAGTTTTTCTATTTGTATACTTAACAATGTTTTGGGGATGTTTAGGTCAGAATACATTTTATTTAACTACAATTTTAAAATATTTTCACTTTTAATTTTTAATAGACTATATTCCTTTTCAAAACAAGTAAATGTACTAGAATTACTTACAGTATATAAAATTATTTTTTCATATCAAGTATAAATATGTATATTACTAGGTCACATTTTTTTAAAAATTTTATTTTTAAATATTATTTAAGGAAAATTTTTGACAATGACGACAAAGAATAGCTATTTCTTTTCTCTGATTCAGTAAACTTTTATTTTTTATAAATTTAGTAATATATAGTTTCTCATGTATGTGACAAGGACATGAGTCATTTATTGGCCTACATATTCTAACTTTTCTTATTAATTTCATTTTACTGTATGTGTTTTATTGGATTCTTTTAAGTGCTTGTAGTACTTTGAGAGAGGTGTTTAGGTTAGAATACGTTTTATTTAACTAAAATTTTAAAATATTTTCACTCTTAATTTTAATAGACTATATTTCTTTTTAAAACAAATGTAATAGAATTACAGTATATAAAATTATTTTTTTATATCAAATATAAGTATGTATATTACCAGGTTGCACTTTTTAATTTTATATATATATATATATATATATATATACACACACACACATCATTTTTATTTTTACCTTATAACTGTAATTTTATTATATATATATATATATATATATATATATATATATATATATATATATATGTATTATGAGATGGACAAAGTCTGACAATTATTTTAAGACATTTTTATGTTTAACATTCTTTTTATAGATACTAATATTTAAGTAAATGCTCTGTTTATAATAAACAGTATTAAACAACATTTACCGGCCTGAATGTCCAAGAAATTTTCAAAGAAAATATTCGTCCTCTGCCAGGATTCGAACCTGTATCCTATACGGAACCGTCATTTAGCTTGATGTGCCTTGACCAATTTGGCCACAGAGGCATGTTCGGTTAGCAAGGTTGAATTTACTGTATTTAAACTTCAATCTTCCATGAATCTCTCACGTACATTCATAGCTGCTCATAGCGTATCAAATGTAAACAAATGATGTCACACATTATGAAATGGACAAAGTCCAACAATTATTTTAAGACATTTTTATGTTTATACATTCTTTTTTTTATAGATAGAAATATTTAAGTAAATGCTCTGTTTATAATAAACAGTATTAAACAACATTTACCGGCCTGAATGTCCGAGAAATTTTCAAAGAAAATATTCTGTCGGAGGACGAATATTTTCTGTGAAAAAAATAAATCAAATCAGATAATCACTTAATTCATGAATTTCACTTAAATCATGCGTTCCACTTGAAAATCTTTGTTGTTTCTGCTAATAAAAGAACAAAAACCGAAAGAGATAAATCAATAACTCACGCTGCTTGTTTTCTTTCATCAGGTTTTCTTTTTACCTCTAAAATCATCCAGTTACACCTGACATTTTTGGATGATTTTCACTGGCTTGACCAGGGTGGGGTCAATATAAGGAAATGTTTCAATTTTCTGCTGACAGTTGCATTTGACCATGTCCTCATTGATTTTTTTACCACGTTTCTTATAAAAATGGTTAAACAATATTATTAATTTTTTTTTCTCTTGACCATTTCAAAATAAGTTAATATTTGAAATTGTTGGGTGGGGTGGGCAGAATAGAGCTTAGGACAGATAAGGCAAACCTTACTAAGAGCTACAAAAAAGGGAAGTCATGGAGAGCCGTGATTGTCCATGTTCTAAAAGAATACACCACATAGAAGAGAAAATTGACCAATATTTGAAATTTTTGATTTTAATTTAATAAAAAAATAGGCCAACATTTCAAATTATCGATTTTGACTGAGAACCAGAAAAACTTCACTAAAAACAAGGAAAATAGTACTAAACTGTTTAGTGATATCAGTCCTCCTGTATGGCAGTGGGTGCTGGACAATCTCTTCAGAGATGAAGAGACTTGAAGCAACAGAAATGTGGTTCTATAGAAGGATGCTGAGGATACCATGGACCAATTATGTGGGTAACAACGGTGTTTTATAGAAAATAGAAGCAAAACGAAACTTAACATCAGGAAGAGACAGCTGAAATTCCTCAGCCACATAATGAGAAAAGAGGATTTGGAAAATTTGTTACTCATAAAACAGACTGAAGGCAAGAGGGTCAGAGAAAAACAACGCTTAGTATAGCTTGAGTAAATGGATGACAGAACAAGGTTTAGTAGAGAGAGCAAAAAGATAAAATTTATTAAGAGCTACAAAAGACAAAGGAAGTTGTGGAGAGCCATGATCGGCTATGTCCTGAGGGACATGACACATAAAGAAGAGAAAAGCAACAAATGTAATTAGAATGATGGTTGCAGTTCTTGGAGGTGAAGAACTTGCCATAATAGAAAATGAAATTTTTGCTGGGGTAGTTTGTATTCATTTGACATTAATAGTCTTGAGAAAAACATGAATCCCTGTTTCCTTAAAGGTCAGATCTTGTTTAACACTCTGCTGCTGAAACTAATCCAATTTATGGAAAGGAATTAGGCACTTCTAAGTAAGAGAAATTTCTTGAGAAATGTCATGAAGAATCCATCATACTTTGATAATCTATAAGATTAGATGGACCATTCTTATGGGATGTACATGACATTTGTAGACATTCTTTAGAATTCAAAAAATTCCATGAAAGTTATAATAAAACAATGAATATAGCTTGAGGATTGTATTTAGCTGTCACCTCCGGGTGTTAAACCTAATGTCCACTTTGATATTTACACATGCCCTCTCTCTGATATTGAGCTCTTTAACCCATAAATAAAGCATTGTAGAGTAGCTAACACTCCTTCAAGACTCTACCAGATGGCCTGGCTCATAGCCTTAGTCTATGATTAAGGACTACAACAGTTGATTAATAAGTTGATACTCAGCTGATTAATATTTGGACTGATCTTACATCGTTTGGCTATACAGCATTTGACCCTGCTCTATTCCTTGTAAGTTGTCTTGTTAATTGTTTTGTAACTTGTTGTTTTGTGTTTTTTGTTTGTATCCATTAGCACCAGATACTGGTGCTGAATAAATATCTTAAGCACCCATTCTTCTCTGTGTATTATTCACCTCAACAATACAACATATAGCACATCTTAAAAGTATATTTTATTATATAAACGCACACACACAGGGTGTAACAGGAAAGAAGCAGTAAGAATGTATAATTATTCTCCAAGCTTAAGAGAATTGTGATGAAATTGATCGTAAACAAAAAATTACATGTTCATTATTAATTATATATATATATATATATATATTATCCCAGGATCATTTTCCGACTTATTCATGATGATCTTTACCCTCTTTAACCTTCAAACTTTCTGTCTTGTAGTAACAAAGTGCCTCACACATTTCACATATGATTTCATTTTCAAGTCTTCTTTTCACTGCTCTTTGGACTGTCATTGCTGAAGCTCATCGCTTATCTGCCAAACGATTGAGTTGAATCTTTCCTAATTGATCTCTTTAGCTCCAAGTTGAAATGATGATCCCACTGTTTGTTGTGACCTCCTGGTCCAGTTTTTCTCGCTACTGTTCCCTCTACTCTGTACTGTTTTTAAAACTTATTCATTGTTCTTTTGATGGTTCTTGAATGGACTTTGAAGATGGAAGCCAGAGTATGAATATTGGTACCATTACTGAAGGCCTGAATGATCTTTTTCCTCTCACCATTGCTCAGTTGGGAAGACAGTGAGTCTGACACAAAATAGTTTTAACCTGCTCTCTTTTTTCAGTGATTCTTATGACAAATGGTGTCAAGATGGCTAAATGTCTTATCTGAAAACGTGGAAAAAAGAAACTGCTTGTTTAGACGTTTTTTTAGATATTAAACATTTTGTGGAACAGAGAATTATGCTGCTAAACCCGATATATATATATATATATATATATATGTGCATGCGTGCGTGCATTTGTGTTTGTGTGTGTGTATGTATTCACATATTTATATGTGTGTGTGCACATTTATATTTGTGTGTGCATGCATTTATATATGTGTGTGAAAGTGTGTGCACATTTATATTTGTAAGTGTTCCTCACATTTATATATGTGCACACATTTATGTGTGTGTGTGTATGTACTCATTTATATATGTGTGTGTGTGTGTGTGTATATATATATATATATATATGTATGTATGTATGTGTGCTTTATATGTTTTTGTGCACACATATATATGTGTGTGCATTTGTGTATGCACATTTATATATGTGTATATGTACATTTGTGTTTGTGTGCCTAGTTATATATGTACGTGTGTGTGTGCTTTTATATATATATATATATATATATATATATGTGTGTGTGTATGTGTGTGTGTATTTATATGTGTGTGTGTATTTATATGTATGTATGTGTGTGTGTATTTATATGTGTGTATGTGTATGCCTGTGTATTATATACCTTATGTACATATATTCACACAACCAAGAAAATACATCTATAAACCATAACCACTTGTAATTAATACCGTAACATTTAAACTACCACCAAAGCAGATGAAAAATAAAAGAAAATTATGGAAAAATGCTGACATAAAAAATACTTCACCATTTAAGCATTAATTAATCACTATATTAATATAAATTCACAGATCCATGTTTATGTGTGTGTGTGCGCCCATGAAAGTAAGTATATGCATACATATTGAAACAACAATAAATAAAATTTAATTACAAAACTAAACTCTTATAATTAATATCCTAATACTTATTTACTTTTCTTTTTATATGCCGTGTCACTTCAGGATGTATACGATCATGGCTCTCCACTTCACCCTATCTCTTGTAGCTCTCAATAAGTTTTGTCTCTTTGCTACTTTTCCCTGGCCATGTTCTGTCATCCAATTGCTTAAGCCTGCCAGGTATGTCATGTATTGCTTTCCTTTGTCTCTCTTTCCCTCTATTCAACCTGTGAGTATCAGATTTTCCAAGCCTCCCTTTCTCATTACGTGGCAGAGAAATTTCAGCTGCCTCTTCCTGGTGTTAAGTATAAGCTTCCTCCTTGTTTGCATCCTCTCCAAAACCTCATCGTTGCTCATCTCATGCTCAAATGCTAAATCAAATAAGCAAAATGAAATAATGGGCAAGTGAAGACATATTTAAATATTTATCTTGCCATTTAAACATTGTTTAAAAAAAAAAATCAAGTCAAAAAAAAAAAATGGAATACACTCAAGAAAACCCGAGAACATTCAATAGATGCGAAGACAATTCTACAATGCCGGATATCAGATTGCTACATTTATCTTTTATGCTCGGAGTTGAAGAAGAGTAAAAGGTATAAAAACCAATTCAGGGGTGAAGAGAGAGAAAGAAAGAAAGAAAGGAGAAATAGCCACAACATTTTAAACATACGCATGTACATACAAGCAAACACTCAAGCTTACACAGATATGAATGCATGCGCACTCACGATGACAGAAGAAGAAGAAAAAAATCAACCCTATACTAGTAAAATGTGAATAAATTATTTTTTTAACTTAATAAATGAGAAAAAAAGCAGTTAATTGCTGGCATCTCCTGACAAGTGGACAGAGCAATTGCAGCAGTCAAGATGCTGAATATAACATCAGTCAGTATCTGTCTATATTTCTGAGATGAGGTATTATGTACACTATTTACATTATTCGGACTATTGTCCTCATCATTGTCGCCATATTTATCACAACGTTTTGGCCCTTCAGTATCTGTCTATATTTCTAAAATGAGGAATTATGTACACTATTTACATCATTTGGACTATTATGTGACAAAGATGAGGACAATAATGTAAATAGTGAACATCAGTCAGCTAAGTGACAAATTTTATATATATATATATATATATATATATATATATATATATATGATGGACTCTCCCATTGAGTTCGATGTATGAGGTTCCAACAACTATGCACTAATTATCTGCATGCCTGTGACTGACATGACTTTTGAGACCGGCTCTAGAATTACACAAAAGACCACAAACAATACAGGAGAATGTATTGTATTCAAGTGCAGCAGGAACACTGTTAGCTGTCTTATTTTGCTTTTATCGTGTTCCATGTAGTCGAATGATGCTTACTTATTTTGAAATAAAGTGTTAAAGTGGTCATTTTAAAAGTATCACCCAATGAGACCATCAAGTTGAACCCATGTTTGCATATTTTAATTGACCTCCTAATTTTTAAAGTATATATATATATATATATATATATATATATAATTTATTGAAAAATTATAACAAACATGTTAAAACATCACTACAAAAATAGCCATTTTGTTTCAAGAATTCTGGTGTCTTCTCAAGTAATGGTGTTGATTCAACACCATTCACTTGAGAAGACACCAGAAATGTTGAAACAAAATGGCTATTTTTGTAGTGATGTTTTAATATGTTTGTTATAATTTTTCAATAAATAATATTTGCTCTAATCTGTATTGAACACTCTTTTAGGAATAGTGCTTTTGGTTATTGGAATTTTAAATTTTATTCTGTCTACTCCAATCTTATACTTGGATATATATATATATATATATATATATATATATATAACAAACAGACTGACAGACAAACTCTGGGGTCTGGTCATAAGATGTGATAAGGTAATTTGATTTGTGGTCTCCACTGATGCTCAGAGATCCTAACAAGTTTTTCTTTACTTACACTTTTGTCTTTCTTTCATTCTAACCTGATGAAACCAAAGGGAGCAGACACACTCAGGGAAATGCATCATTATCTTTATTTTTCTTCCAGATACTATTACACATCCTATAAACACACACACATGCACTGTTTTATAAACAGTGCATGTCTACTCAATCATGGTTATCTACTAAATATAACGGTTCAAAGTAATAAGAAATTATAAATCAAATCCATTAATTCTTAAGAAATTCTTTCTTATGTTTATTTTCAGTTTTGTTGCCATCAAAGATTTTCCAGTCCAAGATGAAGTTGATCCTCACTAGGTTCTCTATACTTTATGGCCTTGTGATATATGAAGCTGAGTGAATAAACTTTTGAGTGCCTTGCTGTAGAGCAAATGATCTGTTAGTAGTTGAGTTCAATCTTCCTGGTTTTACTACTCTTGTGATTTTTGTAAATCTTGTTAATGTGAGGTCATGATGCCATTCATCCAATCACTAGGAAAAGGTCATTGTTGACAAGCATTATCTATATAAACTATTTTTTGGTGAATGTTTCATCAACAATCTCTCATTGGGGTATTGTGTTTAAGGAGTGTCGGCATCTGTGTATAAATAAGACAATTTTCACTCCAAGGCTCATGAATGGTTATATTTTACACTGAATGGATAATCTAATTAGTGAGCACATGTAATAGGCAATGTTTGCAATGACTGAACAGTTTCAGAAGTGTCTAAGGGAGAAGTGTCAGTCTAGCCAATGATATTAATGATGAAATGGATGTTTGGACTATTATCTCCCTCTTAAAACCATAGTGAGAATACCTTTAGTAGCACTATTGTCATATTTGTTTGTATTTCGTTAGTTCTCTTGTAGACTTTTCTGTGAATGGTGCCAACTCTTGTGAAATTATTTAAAAATGTTTCTGAATAGCAGACAGCAACTGAAAACCAAACTTATCCCCAAGGAGGAAGGAATGTTGGATATTATTTATTTTTTTATAAAAAATTGGTTTTCATATATATATATATATATATATTCTGGTTTTGATTATCAGAGAGAGAATAAGACTTGGGACATTTGGGTGGAGTTAAAAATTTATTTCTGATTTGTCAGACTTTTTACTTATACATTTGTCATTTTGCTCTTTCTTTTTTGCTTCCTTCCTTCCTTTCTTTCTTTTTTGCTTCCTTTCTTTCTTTTTTGCTTCCTTCCTTCCTTCCTTCCTTCCTTCCTTCCTTTCTTTTTTGCTTCCTTTCTTTCTTTTTTGCTTCCTTCCTTTCTTTTTTTTTGCTTCCTTCCTTTCTTTTTTGCTTCCTTCCTTCCTTCCTTCCTTCCTTCCTTCCTTCCTTCCTTCCTTCCTTCCTTCCTTTCTTTTTTGCTTCCTTTCTTTCTTCCCTCCTTCCTTTCTTTTTTGCTTCCTTTCTTTCTTTTTTGCTTCCTTTCTTTCTTTTTTGCTTCCTTCCTTCCTTCCTTCCTTCCTTCCTTTCTTTTTTGCTTCCTTTCTTTCTTTTTTGCTTCCTTTCTTTCTTTTTTGCTTCCTTTCTTTCTTTTTTGCTTCCTTTCTTTCTTTTTTGCTTCCTTCCTTTCTTTTTTGCTTCCCTCCTTCCTTTCACTTTCATTTTCCCTTTTTCTTTCTTTATTGCCTTCCTTTTTAGTTCTTTTTCTTTGTTTTCTTTTTTTCCTTCCTCTTTCTCTCTTTTCCTTCCTCTTTCTCCTTTCCTTTCCTTTTTCCTTCCTTCCTTTATTTTTGTTTTCATTTTCTTCATTTTTTATCTCTTTTTTTTCATTTCCTTACTTTTTCTCTATTCCACATTTTCCTTCGACTATTCTTCATTTCTTTCACATTCTTTCATTAGTTTTATTATACATTCTTTTTTCTTTCTCTTTTCCTTCCTTCTCTTCTGAAAGTTTTGTTGTTTTCCTATTTCTCTTCCTTTTCTTTCTTTCTTTTTGATGTCTTTCCTTGCCCTTCTCCTCATCCTCCTTCTTTCCTTTTAAACATGCAATTAAGAGGCATATCAGAATACTCCTTGAAGGTCAGCATAGAAATTATTCACTCAATAGAACGGAATTTGCAATGCCTATTTACGTATCAGATTTATTTTGTCATCTCACTTTGCTAAGAAAGTAAATTTAATTTTGAAGTTTTTCTTGTTTAACTGCAAAAATACAGTTCTGATTTGCTGCTTCATGTCAGATGGTAATATGCCTCCTTGTAAGTAACGCTTATCTGTACAGTAATGAAATGCAGTTATATCTCTGATATTGTCTGTGGTTATCTAATATTATAGAAATATGATTGCCAGTTACACATTTCTGAACACATCCACCTGTTAGGGCAGCTAGCTAATCCCTGTTGCAGATGGTTGCCCAGGCACATTCATGTTCCTTCAAGAGAGAACCTACCTGTGGTTTATACTGTAATTATGCTCAGTTTACCTTAATTAAAAGAGGAGAGAGTGCATCATCTGGCATGATCAATAGCTAGAACATGGCCGTCAGTCACGATGACTTGTGCTTTGTGCCAGCACAACTATTGATGGGCTTCAAATGGTTCAGTTATCACTCATGAGGCATAGGTCAACCCATGGTATGTCTTCCAGTAGTGTTGCAGATTGGAATTGCCTCCCCAGGCTGATATGAAGAAATCACCTTCCTAAAAAGTTGACCAGGGTAAAAGAATCAAACCCTTGGGTCTCATGGAATTGAACCTGAGCTCATACATACATATCTAACACTTTCACCCCAGCCCCTCAACCTTCAACCTCTTACTCTCTGGGTTGAGGTGTCTACTCGGTCCTAACCGAACTTAAGGGAGTGGCCGTAGGTCCCCTGAGCATCCGTAGATTATTCGACGGGTCCACTGGTTTAATCCTGCTTCCTCCCCATGTTGTGATTTGTTTGATCCAGAAAGCAGAAGTGATGTCCATCCATTTATGGTCGACTGAAGATATAGACATGGCAAGAGAGACTGTGCTAAGAAATTTAGATTGCAGCAAAAAAAAAAATTAATATCTGCAGAAAGCCGGACAAACATCGATTCAATGATTGAATTGTTAATGTCTTTTATATAGCAGAAAAGAATATTATAGAAAAGAAATGGGTTAGCAGTAAAGAAAAGTAATTGACAAAAAATGCATATTCCGGATATATCAGATTTCCCAACAGTAAACGAAATTGCTCTGATTTACTTTTGCTGTTCAAATTCACTCCAATTTCATTAAAAAAAAATAAAAATATATATGTGTGTGTTTGTGTGTGTGTTTTTCCAACACATAGAAATATATATATATATATATATATATATATATATATATATGATATGGGATAAAATATAGATCAGAATCCAACAGAATGATAGGATAAATAACAAATAGGAAATGTTTATCAATCTGATAACTGATTGTTGTATGTTTCATATTTCTGCTTTATCCTATGTTTATGTGCAAGGATATAGAAATACTTTTTTTTTAGTGCCCAATGGCTATGTAAGTAAATGAGAATATATATATATATATATATATATATATCTATATATGGGGTAAACTTTGTTCCATAGCCGTCTGTATACAGCCAGCATAGGAGATTGAAAACCTTTACAAGAAATGCCAGGGGGCATGCTGTTCATTTTGTTTACGGCAAATTTTTGCACCATTCATTTATCAGCATTTCTCCAAAACATGGATAGTCATGCACAGGCCATCAACATTTTAATCAATTCTCCATGAAGATAATTCAGAAGTTTGTTTTGTTTTCCATTCTTCCTGCCTTGTTGAGCCTCAAAGATAAAATTCTGAAAAACCCAAATTCTATTGACATCCTCCTATTAACTGTCATATTGAACATACTTTATGGTAATGTGTGTGGTGTAAAGATCGAAGCAAGTGCCTGTTATCTTTTGAGGCAGGCTGAAATTTACAATGAAACCAATGCATATCAGTTTTATATACATATGTTGGGTTGGAAGCGAAGTTTCTTCACAACTTTATACATATTTTTATTAAAAGTTTATCAGACAACAAAACACACAGGCAGATAATTTTCCTTTTGCCTTTATTCATATATATAAGTTTTATTAAATTCAAGCATATAATTTACTTAGTCTAATTAAATTTTATTGTATTTTTCTAATTCTTGAATAAGTTGTTATACATCCAACTTAAAATTGTGGATAAACCATCCAAAGTCCTTGTTTTTGTTTGAGTATGACCATGACAGCCATTAGCAAGAACTGGGTGTTGTTAGTCTGGCAGACAAGATTTTATTAGCTACATCCTTTCCTTTTTTGAATGCTACAATTTACTCACTTCCCTTTATTAGGCATTAAATTACATCACTTATCATCTTCCATAATTTACTTTGATTTCCAGTTCGCCTGAAGTATATTTATGAGTGTTCTTAAATTTAAAAATTCTAAAAACTAACGACATTTTTACTTCTGTTTATGAACATTTGTTGTAAAATAAAATTCTAATATTTGTCTTGATGAAGTTCATCAGAGGACAAAACATATTTTCCTTTTGTCTTTATTCACATACACACAGAAACACACATACATATATATATATATATATATATATATATATATACAGAGAGAAAGAGATTTTTCGTTGAATAATTTAGACATGTTCTGTCTACTTATTTTTGATAGGATCCTTTCATATTCACAGATAAGCTTTTTTAGTGTTGTTATTGAGAGACAAGAGAAAATTTCCATGTTGATACATATTTTGTTTATTTCCGAGTACATTCGATATAGCAAATTGCCATCATCAGAGTATTGTTTATTACAGGATAAATATTGTAGTGTTTATTGATTCTGTAATAAACAATACCCTAATGATGACATTTTGTTATGTCAAAAGTTCTCAGAAATAAATGAGATATGTATCAACATGGCAGTTTTCACTCGTTCTTCAATAACAACACCAAAAAGCTTATCCGTGAATATGAAAGGATCCAATTGAAAATAAGTAGACAGAACATGTCTAAATTATTCAACAAAACATGTCTAAATGAAAACATGCTGTTGAAATATACACACACACGTGTATATATATATATATATATATATAAAGAAAAAACAGATATATAATCCAGTGTTCTTACAGATATTTTTATTTTTACAAAGTAGTGCTCGATGTAAATTTACAGAGCATTAATATTATAAATTAATTGATTTAAAATTTTTTTTTTCCCCTACACAGTTCTAACCATGTTACTCCAAAATTAAAATTAATTATTAAATTATTTAATGGTTTCACAGTTCTATGATTTTCAAAAGTTAAATTGAGATGCAGATGTGTGGCTATGCCATGATATGTCTTCATTTTATCTGTGTTAGAAGGTAAGGCTTTTTATATATAAATTTTATTAAAGATGACTGACAAGATGCTGCAATTAAGTTTTTGATTCAATTTTTCTTGTGTTCATTTAAGTGATTTCTTTTCTAGACATAAAGTGTGTAAAAACTGTTTTCTATATATTTTCTATATATTCAAGTGCTTGTGACTTTTCTCTTAATCATCATAAAGGTTTTTTTTTTTTTTTAAACCGAATTTGTAGATTTTTATATATGTTTCTAGAATGATGAGAATGTTTTTTATTTTTCAGACATGGTCAGCCTGTTGTGGCTGTGCTCATAGTTAATGTTATTGTGTGTTGTCTTTTACTTAATTATTATTACTGCTTAGGGCTCACTTAAACATAGACAGAAATTTATGAAACTTTATCCACATGATACTTGTAGAAAATAAATAAAAGTATAAGAGTCTCATGTTAAAAAGACTAAAAATAACGGAAGCAGTGATTTATTTTTTTTGCACATAGTTCTGCAATGATCTGTAGATCAAAGTGCTTTCGACTAATCTATTAACTAGTATCAAGGATAATATATAGGTACATACATATAATAATTTACATATTCAGTTAAGCAAAATAACATCCTTGATAATGGCTAATAGATTAGTCAATAGGAGTGTTCTTTTTCATTTTTTATAATATTATATATATATATATATATATACACACATTATTTTAGTATATTACATCGAAAACATGTCAAAATGTAATATACAATCACCTGATGAGATGTTTTATTTGTGCATTGAAACTTGACTGAAATTGTGTAGCGATTTTCACATGCTTTTGATGTAATATCTTAAAATAATGAACAATGCTCTACTTTGTAGTGAGCCCTCTTTTAAATTAAATGTTATGAATATTGGAATTGTATTCTATTCATTCTCATATATATATATATATATATACGCACACACATTTCATTGAAGATGACTGACAAGGTACTGCAATTAAACATTTTATAATATTTTTCTTTCATTCATATAAGTGAATATATGTTGGGACATAAAGTGTGTAATGACTGTGAAAATGATCTGTGGATCCGAGTACTTTTGACTAATCTATTAACTAGTATCAAGGATAATATGTAGATACATGCATATAATAATTTACATATTCAGTTAAGCAAAATAACATCCTTGATAATGGCTAATAGATTACTTGATGGGGTTGTTGCTTTTTCTTATAGTCGGATTGATGTGAATTTGTGACCCAGGGTTTCACGCTACTTGCAATCGTCACACAAACTGATTAATTTATAAAAATTGTGGGCTTATATATGGTAGTGTGAAGAAAAATTGTCATCGGAATGCCACTCATTTGTACGCAGACATGCATACATGCACATTTATGCATTGTAGCTCACATAAACATATATGAACAATGTGGGACTGGGCATATATGTGCATCCATGTGTCATTGCATACATATGTATGCAATTGGTTGTTGTATTCAATGTTGATTTGTGTGGCAAACATCATGCATGTTTCATTAAAAACGACAGACATGGTACTACAATTAAGCTTTTTATTTAATTTTTCTTGTCTTTGAACAAATGTCTTCCTTTTTTGGATACAGAGTGAGTAGGAACTGTTCAAATGTTCTGTAATTCCAAGCGCTTTCGACTATACTTTTAGCCATTACTAAGAATGATTTTATTTTTCAGTTTAATTGGGTGTGTGGGTTGTGTGTATGTTTTTAGCATTATAGAGATGCTCTATTTTTATTTTTTTTTATTTATTTTTAATGAAACATGCATAAATG